CAGGCGCCCGCCACAACGCCCGGCTATTTTTTGGTTGCAGCCGTCATTGTTGTTTGGCGGGTCCGGGCTGGGGATCCAAACCCGCCACCTTAGGTGTACGTGGCTGGCGCCTTAGCCGGTTGAGCTATAGGCGCCGAGCCTAGTAATCAGATTTCTAATCACATTTAAAGTGGGCAACAGTAGAAGCTTAGTGAGATTTAATTTTTCTATTTGATGCCATTTCTTGGATCCACCTCCTGACTTATCTTCCAAATCTAAGTGCTGTCACCATTCCTCTCTGACCCTTGTTCACTTTCATTGCGGAATCCATAAAGAATGACTATGGGCCTCTTAGAGCCCTTGCTCTGAGGTCTTAACTGCTCTTCATTACTGTTCCAGTCACGTGTTCTTTGGAAAATCCCTAAAAGCTGGTTTGGTTTTGTTCTTTGCTCTTGAAGCCAGAAACCAGCCACCTTCACTACTTTGTTAAACTTTCTGGGTGGGAGTCTATTTGAAGATGCATTTTCTTTGGAAGGTTGGCTTTATTGAGAATGCAGAAATGAGGCAGTTTTTGGCACTTAATGGAACACCCTCAGTAGCCATAGAGTGAAGTGAGCTCTATTGTGAACAAAACCAACCGCCGGAGGGGGGACAATGCAGGTAAGACCATTTAGGAGCACATCTGTGGGCTGAGACTGGACTACCTGTAGTCCAAACCCATGTTTCACCCCTTTCTGTCTCAGTACACTCATCTTTAAAGTGAAGATATTAATATATACTGTCTCATAGGGTGGTTGTGAGGGTTAAAAGTGTTCTAAAGTGCCTGCCACACAGTAAAGAATAAATGTTAACCTGTTGCTTTAACCTTTGGCATGTTACCACGGGGTGGGGTTGGGGAACTAGGACAGCTGAAAACAGCCACTTAAGAACCAAATCCCTCAATTCCCGTGTACTGATGGTGTTTCCGTTTTTAACCATTGAGTCCTCTTTGGCTAGTCAGGCCAGGGGACCAGGTAAGGTAAGAGTCCTCAAGGTCACACAGCGTAGATGGCAGAAACAATGGCCTTATCGGGGCTGAGTTGAGTCCTACCCGTCGGCCACCGGCTGGTTTTGGGAGGCGTTGGAGTCACCTTAACTGCCCTTAATTACTCATCCAGTGATAGGAAAGGGAAGCTTTAATATGCCCCCCCTCGGCTGCGCAGCAAGACTCTTCCTACACCAGAGGAAAGAGATCCGCAGAGGAGCAGGACCGCAAGCTGCCTCCGGCCGCGCCCCTGGAGCTGGCGAGCTCGCGGTGGGCGGTGGAAGGGGCGGGGCCAGGTCGCAAGGGGCGGGGCCGGGGAGGCTGCGGGCGTCTTCGCGAAGGATGCTGCCGAGTGCGGAGGACCGGAGGGTGGAGCCCGGGCCGGAGGCGGGCCCAGATGGGGGTGGGTCGAGGCGCGGGTCGAGGCGGAGCTCCGAGGTGGGCAAGTTGGTGGCGTCCCCTGCGGCAGGTACTAGAGAGCGTCGGAGCTTCGACGACCCGGGGCAGAGCTCCGCGATCCAAGCGCCAGGCTCGCCGAGCGAAGTGGGCGGGCGGCTCGGGACCATGGCCAGGGCCGGCATGGAGCGCTGGCGTGACCGGCTGGCCCTGGTGACGGGAGCCTCGGGGGGCATCGGCGCGTCCGTGGCCCGGGCGCTGGTCCAGCAAGGACTGAAGGTGGTGGGTTGTGCCCGCACCGTGGGCAACATCGAGGTAAGGCCGGGCCGGAGCGGGGGGCGTTCTGGGAGGCGTTTCCGCGGGGTAGGCTCCGGGGGCGGGGGAGGGGCTGCTCTCGCTTGCCCGCCACACCAAGGCCATTTGCAACGGGCTCTGGTAGGGAAGGGCTCTTGGAACTCTTAGAGCAGGATTCTGCCTTCGCTTTAAGTTCCACCGTTTAGGGAGCCATTTTCTCCGGACGGTGCCTGCCCCAGGGTACCAATCTCTGACTCCTGCATCTCCCCGCCCGCCCCTTGCATCTGCCCAGAATATTGGCCTGAGAAAAGGGAAAGCCAGAGATAAGGGGCTAACTAGGCAGCCAGGGAAAACGAAAGAAGTCTTTTCGCCCCAGTAGCTAGGCTGGCTACTTGATTGCTTCCTGTGGTTCCCAGAACTCACCCAGCACACAAGGCAAAGTGGTTAACCAGCCAGATGAGCAAGAGCCAGAAGTTCTGAATTTTTGACCCTGGACTGACGGAGGAGTTAGGGCAGGAGTGGAGCTTTACTGAAGAGCCTTAGCCCCTTGTCCCCAAACCCTGAAGGTTATCCATACCCACTGGGCATGAAGGATGAATTCATCGGTAGACTTTTCTCTAGTTCATTCTCCTAGGCATTGCACCTGTAACTCACGAACGGACCTGGAACTCCTTATTTTTCTCTTGACATGAGATTGGGGGCCCTTAAAATTATGAGCAATAAGAGCAAGGGGGAAAAAAAAAAGAAGAAGAAAGAGAGAAAGAAAGAAAAAGAAAATTGGCCTTTTTGGAGTAGGGAGAAATTTTTGTTATAGGTTATCTCTGGATTTGCTTCGGAAAGATCACTGACTGGGTTTGGGCTAGTCCTTAGCTGCAGGGCTTTATCTCCACCATTGCTCAAAGTCCTAGGGCAGGGAAAGGCTAAGCAAGGCTTGGGTGGCGGCAGAGGGAGAAGGTGTACAGCAAGGAGGACTGTCCCCTCCCCTGCTGCTGACCAAAGGTACACTTTATAACCTCCCCGATAATCCCAAGGCCACCTGGCTCCACTATTGCCCCACTCTGCCCCTCCCTATCTCCTGTTCTGAGGAGCTCAGAGCAGCCCAGCCCCAGCCTTAGAGTCTAGACCCTCTAGACTCTAGATGGTCAGCTAGAGATTGGACAACTGGATTCCCTAGTTCTGAAGCTGCTCTTGGCTTCTTGTTCTGCTCCCCTGTCCCAGGCTGGTCACTCAGTCTCAAGATGACTCCACATCATGAGAGGAGAATATTTTTGCTGTGAGGAGACTCAGATGATTTCAGGTCATTTTTGAGGTTATGTAGGGAGAAGGTTCAGGTGACACAGGTGGGGCAATGAGAAGGCAATGACAGGACAAAATATATTCTTAGTTCCTCCATTCCAGCTTTCCTGCAGAGGATTTTGAATCTGGAGGAGTAAG